AATATGAGAATTTATTCCCAAAAAAAAAAATCAAGTAGAATAGTAGAATGAGATGCCTTCAAATTCAGCCCTTTGCAAAATTCCACAAGACAATGTGGCAATCCATACTTTATTTTCAAAATGAGAAGTAATTTCTAGTACCATCAAAACTCTAGCCATAGAAGATCTCAGAAAATAGCTATAACAGCATCCACTTTCAAAGGTGATGTGAAACAAACATGCGACAAGAGTTGCTTAGGTTTTAACAATAAATAATGAACATGCATTTTTCCATTTAAGAACTTATGCTTCACTTAATTCAAACTCGTAGAATTTTCAATAAGAGATTAAGTGATGAAAAAGTTACAAGTATGATAACAAGACAATCTCAATAACTACGAAACAAAATAATAATACTAATAGCAAGTAAACAAGAATCCACAGCGTAACATCAAGATATAGTCACTTAAGAGTTCATTCTCACTCAATCACTCTTAGGCTTTAGCGGAGGAGGACGAAGCACAAGAGGAAAGAGATTACCACTAGGAAGATGACGCCAAGGATCTTCATCGGTGGAGAGGTAGCCGGCGGTGGAGGAAGTTGTGGATGACCAACGATTATCTAACTACCCGGACGAATGTGCTCCTCAATTGATAGCGTCAGTTGATATAGGATGCGGTCGATGTATCCTTCGACAGTCTCGTCATTTCCAAAGTACATGTCAAAGAATAGGGATCCGAGAATATATGTCCGTCCTTGCCTGCCGAAAACAAAACCGTGGTCGATCTCAGGATTGGCCATGCACCAAGGACGATGAGAATGAGAGAGGCGTTTGTCTTCTTCTCTTGGTGTCGAGTTTCATGAGAGAGCTAAGGTTTTCCAAGGGAGGAGATGCAAGGGAAAGAGGGGCAGCCAAGGTGGGGAGAAGAGGAAGGGGCGGCTTGTATGAGGGCTTGGGTTAGGTTAGGAAAAGGATAGGGAAAGTTTTAACCAAGATCTAAAATTAATTTCAGATTTTAAGTGGATTTGAGGGGATTTAATTTGAATTTGAATTCAAATTCAAGGGGGATTTGAATTTGAATTCAAATTCAAATTCAAGTGGGATGGAGCCTTAATAGGAAGCAATATGATTTAGCCCATTAATGGGTGGCCGGCGGAGTCATGAGGGGAGGAGTATGGGGAAGATTTTAATAAGTTTCCAAACGAGGTTTGCCACATAAGAAAAAGAGAATAAACAATCCTCTTTAATTTAAAATTAAATCATATTGAAATGTAAAAACTTTCCTTATTTGGAACTTTGCAAATTAGGAAAGTTTTTTAAATTCAAATTTGAATTTCAAATGATGGAAAAACTTCCTATCCTTCTTGACTCAATCTAGGGAGCCATGATGATGTTTGGAGTCATCATAATGGTAGGGAGCCATGTAAGGGGCGGTGGCAAGGGAAGGTGGAAAGGGGTTGGGGTCGGGTTGGAGGAGAGGAGCTTGGGCCGTTGGTTGGAGCTTCAGGTGGTGGAATTGGGAGAGACTTTGGGTGGGGAGGATGGTCAGGGTGGAAGAGCTAGGAGGGTTCAGTGGGTGGATTGGGAAAAAGGGAGAAGAAGAAGAAAATAAATTAAAATCACTGAGTCGTGGACTCTTCCAACGACTGGTGGGTATTGCGCTAGCTCACCTTGAGCTCTCTCTCCCTTCTCTCTAGTGCTCACACAAGAACAAGAAGAAAACACATGAAATTTTCATTATCAAATCATCATCCTACTACAACACATAGGGCCATTATATATAGGCCTCTAACATGAAAAAGGAAAAAATACAAACTTGACCTCCGGGCTACAATAACAAGATACTCCCCATAGGAGTAAAATCAGAAAACAACAAAACTAAATAAAACATAATGCATACAACAAGACTAAATAAAACATAATGCGTCAAAAGTAAAGACGCTGAATCATAGTCGTCGATCTACGATTCCGTCGTAGATGCACGTGCCTAAATCTCTGAACGATGTCCTCATCAAAAGGTTTTTCAAATATTTAACCCAATGAATGAAGTGGATTAGTGGTGCAATTTAAGAAAATTGTCTCAGTATTTGATCTCAAGAACAATTTGCAACACATTTTTATTTTCATTTTTCGTCCGTTGTTTTCATTTTTTCATATTAATTTTGTCCCAAGAGCAATTTGCCCAACATTTTTTGGTAGAATTTAAAGCACTTCTGCATCAAAACCAATGAAGGGTTTAGCAAAGAACATGTTAGGCCTTCCTATTATGTGAAGAAAGGTATATGCAGGTGGTGTGCGAAACACCATAACCAAAATTAGGACAAGCACCAAGATGAGCAATCTTCATGTCCGACACATCAAGAAAGGCATATATATATATATATATTTACATCAACAAAGGCATATATATATATATATATATATATATATATTGCTAGGAGTTTCTGCACAAAGGAAATCACAAAATAGAATAATATGATTTCCCAATGCATCAAGGAAGATGAGCAATGGGAGCATGTGAGAAGGCTCCACATACCTCATGTGACATTGGAGTTACGTTTAAAAGGTAGAGGAGGGTTTGGTAAGAGAGAAGAGAATGAGAGAGCAGGGATGGAGAACAGAGAGGGCATCAAATGGGCGAGAACAAAGGGAGAGGAACATGGAAAGGAAGAAAGGAAATATGGGCATGCCTCAAACCACCGTTTACCCAAAATGGGATAAGAGATAAGGAATAAAGAGCAAAGGATTTAGTAGAATAGACTACTTAAAAAGAACTAAATGACAAGAAATAAGATCCAAATTTGATGTTTTAAAATTCAGAACAGGAATGGAGGTTAGAAAATCATGAACCAAACAAAAACTTAAAATATATATGATTAACTGTGAAAATCCCTACCAGAAATGCAGAAATGGACCATATTTAGCCATAAAACCTCTAATTTTGCCCTCCAACAGAAAAGTGACCTCAGTACATGTTGAGAATTATTTCTAGGGGTTTCTTTTCTACCACCTCTTCATCGGAATAACAAATAAAAAATATAACTACTTCAGCAAACATTCAGGAATGGCGCCTCTTCCAGCAGAATCCCAAACAAAAATACAACACTTTCAGCAAGAATTCAGGATTAGCGGCATGCTGCCAAGGGAAGCAAAGGGTACAGCAATAATGATGTGAGCATCTAAAATGATGAGGACATCGACAAAAAAATCTGGCGCATCTACGAAAAGGAGCCGTAGATCGACAGTCATGATTAGGACTCTTTGTTTATAGTCAATTTTCTGCATTTGATTTATCATTGTATTTTATTTTGAGAGTCTTTCCCAGTTTGTCATTATGTTGAATTATGTGTTGTAGCCCAAGGGGGCATTTTAGTCTTTTGAGTTCATATTTTGAGGCTTATATATAGAGGCCCTTGGCTATTGTAAGAAGAGGATGAATATAATGAATTGAACTTCAGTTTTCCTGAATTGTGTGTGCTTGAGTCTTCTTGAGTGAAGAGTGAAGTCTCTAGGAGTAGGGCAACACAACACCCAACAACCAGCGCCGTGGCAAGGTTCTTGGCTCTATCTTCTCTCCCTCCTCACCTCATCTTCCTCTATTGACAGCCAAAATTTTCTACTGTCCCATACAGCCGAGTCACTTCACCTCTCTTCCATTCCCACTCACCTACAGGTCCACCCTTTCTCTCCACCCATAGCTGGCCAGTCCCCACTCCATTGTCTCTTGGTATTCCCTCCACCTTTTTCCATTCCCCTCATTAAATCCAAGTGGTTGTTGCCATTTCCCACTCCCCCATTAATTCTTACAATAATTGTTATCCCTTTTTCCCTTCCCCAATACTCCCCAACAGCTGCCAGCTCTTCCATTCCCCATTAAATCCCTAAGGCTGCTATTCCTTCCCCTTGGTTGCTACCATTTCCCACTTCCCCATTAATTCCTACACTAATTGCTATCCCTTTTCCCTTCCCTAATACTTCACAACAGTTGCCACCTCTTTCCCTTCTCCATTAAATCCCTAAGGCTGCTTCCCCTTCCCCTTGGTTGCTACCATTCGCTACTCCCCCATTAATTCCTACATTAATTGCTATCCTTGTTCCCTTCCCCAATAATTTCCAACACCTGACACCTCTTCCTCTTCTCCATTAAATCCCTAAGGTTGTTGCCCCTTCCCCTTCCCCTTCCCCTTCCCCAATAATTTCCAACATCTGCCACCTCTTCCTCTTCCCTATTAAATCTCTAGTGTTGCCGCCCCTCTCCCCTTCCCTTTTCTTTAGCCAATAGCCTTTTTCCCAAACAACCACCTCCTCTTCACTTTCAGTATGCCAAGCCCGAACTCCCTTCCCCAAACCGTCAATAGCCAAGTCATCCATGGATGGCCAATCCTAAGCTTGATCACGGCTTCATATTTGACAATCAAGGCTTAGTTGACATTCATTGGTCTCTATTCTTCGACATCGACTTCGAGATTGACCACACCGTCAAAGAATACGTGGATCGAATTAGCTTCTCTCTTGAAACTGCCATTGATCATTGAAAACCTCCCGTCCAATGGTAACCAACCTCCAGTCCACCCAGTAATTCTTTTCCGGGTAGCTTTCTATTGCTCAAAATCTTAAACGTTTACTTCTTATTAGTCACATTGTTAATATCGTATCATGTTTTCTTCTACTGAAATTATTCAAAGAGTATGAGTGAGGGAATTTCATTGTGACTGTTCTAATTGTTAATTGTGGGATTTGTGTGACTTGTTGACAAATAGCCTTGGTTATTATTTTACAGTTCCATGCTAATACTTGTAATTGTTTGCTATTAATTTATCAACAATTGAGAAGTCGTTTAAATCGGCCCTTGATCACCATCAATATATATAATTGCTAAGCTTGTGAATTCAATATTATTCCTAAGCAATTCCTGAATCTAGCATTTGTTTCACAGCATAAAAGAACCAAAAAAACAATACCATTCCGCCAAACAGTAATTAGATAAATCTAACTTAGCTTAAATCAGGATACCACGCACCTTTTAATCTCTTTTCAAGGCGATTGACAAAACCAGGAGATAATGTAGAAGAAAGAACTATTGTGGCCCCATCGGAAAGAGCTTGCATAAACCAAATATAGAAACGGAGTCAGTCATATAATTTCATAAAATTAAAATGAAATGTGAAAGTTACCGGACACTGAGCCAGCCTCTCCATATAAAACACTTTCAGCTTGAGCTTCATTGGCGACCATAATAATAAGAACTTCAGCATCTGGAGAAGTTTGTCAATGTGTAGTAATAAGAAATAAGAATGGTCAACAAAGGAAAGGAATCTCATCAACAGAAAATAGAGAAATTCCCATAGGTATAAACTGGTCAAATATATTACTGCACAATACACCAATTAACCACCCGAAATGATATTTTTTTTCAAGGGTTCTTGAAAATATCATAAAATTTCAGATCATGCAAAAAAACACCTCACTGCCTTAAGAAGCTGTACAAACATCAACAAGTATGTCATTTCAAATACCAGTTATTTATAAAATAGAGTTTACAAGGCTTTGCATGTTTTAAAATTCAAAGTGGTGTTTAGATCAATCTAATCTATCCCACAAAAATTAAGAGTTTGCTACAACATTTTCTTTAGAACTTTAGGCCACTTGGGGTTCTAATTTATTGTCACACGAAAGAATTTGGAACAATAAAATGTTTTGTAGCAAGCCATGGAGCATGGGTGCTAAATAAGGTAAAACTATAAGCTGGATGATATTATTTTCTACATGAATATTGCATACTGTATGAGATTAAAAGATAGATTGATTTGGCATTGAGGTGGACACATTATAAACAAAATCAACAAAACAAATGGATTTCCTGATCTGGAATAGGATCGCTACATTCAAGCAAAAAAACTTGCACTTTATTATTTCTTGAATAAAACAATGCCAAGCATATTATTAATATTTAAATGGAAGGTCCAACAAGCAGTGTCAATTCTAAATTAAGCTGGGTTTCAGTAGTCTCCATTTTCATTCTTTAAGTTGCAGAAAAATTCAAATAGCCTAAAATAATCATTTGATTTTTATATTCTGCAATATACTTTAGGCATTGCAATGTGTTACTTCGTAATCAAAATTAAATTGAAATAGCAATTTAGTAGAATAAAAAAAAGGAAATAAACAATACAAAGTTATAATAAAAGGTATCTTCAACATCCATGATACATAAAATTCCTTCCCTGCCCCTCCAGAATTTATGACCATAAAAACCACAAAAGAATCCCTAAGATCCTAGGAAACACCTTTCAGCACCTCTTGTTCTCAGCATTTTTTATGGATCCAATAGGAAAGATGAGTGTTTTCTTACAAAGGTTGCATTCTTAGGGATGAAATGCTCTCAATTGAAATTTAAGGATGGCCTTTTGACGTTATAATGCAGTATTTTAGTGGCTTTCATGTATTTTCATAAGCCCGTCTATTATTATAACGATTTCCTTGAAGTTCAGTAGCTGTGATTTCCATCATTCTATTGTAGCGACTTAGTTGCAGGCCCAAAACAAGGAGAAAAATATAATCTTGGTCATCGGTTGTAGTCCCTCCATCACTCTCTACATCTGGCATTAGCTAATAGAGGACAACCTTGTCTTTGAACTTGTTGCCTAGTTCTTTGGAGTTGATAAACTTCTTCAAGAAGTACTCAACCCAAACCTTAAATCTACCACTGAGCATGTCCACGTACTAAGGGGTGCAGAAGAAGGTGGTATACTTATCCTCTGTCGCTTTGACATCGGCTATCAGCCGGTCGACTTCAGCTTTGCTTTATGATGCATGCATAGTTCATTTGTATATTACCTGACATGTAAGCCTGTTATATCTATATTTTGTATATTACATGCACATAATATATTTGCAAGTGATATAGAACATGCATATACATATGCCTAATGTATTTGCATGCTTATATGTGTAATTATGTATTTGCATGTGCATTTGCATAATCAACATAATGAATCTAGAGGATTGTACATATAAGTGATGCAAAATGTTTTTACTTGACAAGCATAATGTGTCTACATGATGATTTGTATGTTTGCAGGATATGCATAATATATTTGTAAGGTACATTGACACAATGCACCAATACAGTTAAATAGTGTATTTATATGATTCGTATGTGTTGGAGAATTTTTGTATCCTAAAACGGATTGCATACTTTATGATCGAGTACGGCATAAGAACATCATATATTACCCCGAACATCATATATTACCTCGAAGGGTAAAAATATCATTTCCTTATGGACTCAACAATAAAATTTACAATTTTTAACAGAGATTCCCCCGCTCGATGTTTGGTCGAGTGAGGTTTATTTATTTCTGGGGTACAGACGTCCCATAGGGGAAAGCCCCTATGGTTAATTACATCCCAAATTTTAGTTTTGAAAAACTTTTGATTAAACTAGTGGTTTTCTCGTTTTGAGAGTCATTTAAATGTTGGCTAAATTTAATTTTTTGAAATACATGAAAGTCTTATTTAAAGGATTTTGGCCGTTAAGAAATTTAAGGAGTTGATCAACTTGGGATTAGATTTGGAATGAGAGCCAAGGAAGGTGAAGTATGAGCACTTGATTCTGAGGAAAACTTAGAGGTGCTCAAACTATCCTATGTTGGACTTTATATTATAGAAATCTAATTCTGGTTTAAGTTGATATTTTTTATTAGAACATTGAAGCTTACATTCCAACAACACTTATTGAAGGAACTGCCGAAAAATGAGGGCTTATATAGTGATTTGAAATCAGCTATTACCTCGGACCCTAAAACTAAGGTGAGGACTACCGATAGGTAGTGCCTCGAACCTAAGTCTAACGAGTGCAAAAGGGACTTACAAATTACACCTCATATGAGGCATAATCTGCCCGACCTCTAAATTTACTGTCTCGCCTGGAAGGGACTACCAGCTAGACCCACCTAGTCGATTTTAAAACCATGTCATCCGGTCTTAATGCAAATGTAGAGTGGGAAGGTTGTTTTTATTTAAGAAGTATGGCTTACAACTTGCCTTTGAGGCCAAGATGCCTAATTATGTGGGTATGCATATGCTGACTCACAGAAAGAAATATTTTTATTATCTAATCCTTAAGTGGAAGCTGTTCTACATCTTTAGGCTATACATGTTTATTTTAATTTTCGAAAACTTGGCTCCTTGAAGGGAGCCATGCAATTTTTCTTTTATTAGAAAATCATGGAGCCTAATTTTATTTTTTAGATTGCTTACATTTTAAGTGGTAGAAAATTTATTTTATCCTAAGAGCCTATCGCAATAGAGTCCTGTTTGATTGAAAAATATATAAGTTTTGAAAAAGTATTAATTTTCTTTGGGAAATATTTAATTTTGAATTTTAAAATTGAACAAATCATTATGAACAGTATATCGCCTCGAAAAACGAACATATGTTCCCTAATGGGTTCAAATTCCAGAATTCTAATTTATCCGGATTATCGTAGTCAAACTCAAGGAGGAAACAGCATATGATCTCGAAAGACCAAAATGACGTTCAATCAATTTTTTAACTATAATAATTCGGATAAGAGATCGTTAATTTCATAATCAAAATAATGATAATAAAATAATATATCTTCCCGAAGAAAGATGATATTACATATTAATGATTATTTGAATATGACGATAACGATCATCATTTTTGTTTGAATTCCCAAAGATAATTAATTAAGGGTTTTGAAAAATTAATTTTGAAAATCAATTCTGGGTTTCTAAATCTCCTACAGGCGCAAGCCCTCGTAGTTAATTATATCATAGGAAATCAAAATTTCCTACGAAAACTCTCGATTAAAATAGCGGTAGAAATTTCATTTAAGATTTTCGACGATTGATGTCAAAGGAGATTAAGGTTTGGAATTTTCAATCGGGATTGGATCAAGGTTGAACACTTATTTCTGGAGTCAAAGGAAGAAAGGTAGGAGGCACTTGAGATTCTGAAACAATTCAGAAATGCCCCAGTCTATCCTAAGTGTTGGGCTCGAATTAGATTGAAAGTGATTTAAGGTTCAAGTGATCAATTTTATTAGACAATTGGGATTCAATTCCCGGAGGTTGAGGTCTTATAGCCCGAGCTTGACTCAGAACCTAAGTCTAAATTGGGTACTGAAAAAGTGACCCGAACCTAACTAGTGCAATGCGTATATGGACTTACCCCGGCCTGGATTGGGGAGCAAGCTAAACCACCTAGGCGCTTTAAAATCATGTGTCTGGTCTTTTAATATTGAGTGGTAGGGACGTTGTTTAAGAAAGGTTTTAAGAATGGGGCCGACATCTAGAGCAGATCCTAATTGACCCCTTTGACTTATGTTGGGTTCGATGCTTAAGCAAATGCAATTAAGGGTTTAAAGGTTTTTAAATTAGTTGCTAATATGATGCATGCTAATCGACTCGATTAAAAGATTGAATTTAAATTAAGGCTATGAAATGAGAACTCCCGGCGGTCCCGGGCTTACTTCTTAAATTCATTAAAATTTCTATGTTGTCTTAAAAATTTTAATTTGATTTAAGTAGAAAAATTTGTTAAGTCCTTAAGATCCTAAGATTGAGTTCCAGGCTAAATCAAAGTCGACATGCAAGAATCGCCAAAAAACTACAAAAAGCAGGCAATCCTATATCGCAATCAATACAATAATCAATAAATAAATCAATTAAATTAATAGCTCAAGTTGAATGTTCATGTGGCAAGTGCCACTTGTTATTACATCCAGAATTGCTGAAAAGTAAAGTGGCCAGGCACCACTGACAACAACCCAGATTCTACTCCTAAGACTTAAGTGATTTTGAGATTTGGGATTCTTCTCGCTATCCACTTCTTCGCCTTCTCACGAGCATCTTGATTCATCGGTTCTGGGTATCCAAATGAAAAGAAACTCCCCTTGAACGGGGTGTTATCTTTCCTCTTTGGATATTTGAAGAGTATCCTAACTTGATCTTCCAAATGGAAGAAGACTCTCCCCTTTAGGAATGTCTTCTCCTCTTTGCAATTCAAGTTAGATATTAATATCCCAAACTCAAATCACTTTGAATATTTACAACCATATTAAATCAAATTTACATTAAGCAAAATGAAAAATCTAGACTCGATCCTGCAAGGTTATCCTAATAATCAACATTTAATTATAATCTCAAGCAGTTAATATTTGATCTCAAGCAGTTGATATATTTGAAATTTAAATGCTCAATAGAGTGCATTAATTAAATAAATAAA